GGGGAGCCTTGAGCCCTCATCCACTCTTATTTATCTCTTCAAGGTGTTATGGGAGTGCGATGAATAAAGGAGACTGCAGAGCTCTTTGTCTCGGCGCATTCCTCTCTTTTATTTATTAGCTCCAGCCTGGCTCAGAGCCTAATAAATCAACCCAAACTCACCCTCCCAGCTACCCGTTACCTGCACACACGTGCCTGTGTGCTGGCACGCCGTTATCTGCCCAGTCCACCTCTCCCCTTGAAATCCCACCCCGAGGGACCCCGTGCAGTGCGGGGGAGCGAAGGTGGGAGCCAGACAATCTATCACCCTCCCGAGACGCTGCCAGCAACCGACCTGGGGGGAGATCCTGGCGGGCTCCCTCTCTGCCTCGGTGGATGGAGATCGATCGGTGTCGCAGGGATGATGCTGGCAGATTAATTAGCGCCAGACAGCCTTCAGCTTTGTGTCCCACTGCTCCTCGCTCCAGTCTAAGATGTGAATGCTATTGATTTCCTGAGTCCCGCCTTCCTTCTGTCCTGTAATCCTTTCGCTGGTGGGGATCTCAGCGGAAAATTTTGTAGCAGACGTGTTTGCACATACACACACATAAATATAAAGCAGGGGAGGTCTGAGAAACCACTGTTGCCCAAAGCAAGTGAAGTTTAGGTTATTTGTCATCAAGGTAATATTAACAGGAATAAAATACTTAGCTGTTAAAACGGAAGAAACAGCCCCTGTCTCCAAGCAGGATTCCCAGACCTCTGTGCCCTGCCACGCAGTGCTCCCCCTGCCCAGGAGCCCTGTGTCCCCCGTGGGTCCCACAGCGTGGGCCCGGGACCTGCTCCCAGCTGCCCACCTCACCTTTGTGTCACCATCACCAACAGCTTCCTCCCACGGGGACTTCACAAAACAAAATACTGCAGAACTTTCCATGGGGAAATGCAGAGGTTCGGCTGTTTTGTCCTGGTTTGTGATGAAGATTTTCCCTTCCCCAAGGTAACTCCAGAACATGACACTCGATTACTCCTTCCAGCTCCCAGTGCTGGGCAAGTCCTGGTTGTCACTCCAACCTTTAGCTCCATCCTGCCAGGGAACTGGGAGGACTAGGGGCTCTCGTGCCCTCCATTCCTTTTCCTCTCTCAGCTCATGGTCCCTTGTGGCCCTCACGACATCTGCCCATCTTCTCTTTCCCCATATTCTTATTTCTGAAGGAGCAACCCAGCGACACAACGCAGCAGATGTCTGCCATGAGCCAAAGGAGGTGGCTGGGACGGGAGCTGGAGGGGGCTGTGGGAGCAGATCCCAACACCACCGGCCACCTCCACCCCTTGCACCACACCCCGGTTACTGTGCTTTTCTGATGGGTTTAACAGAACCACTGTGGTGTTGCGATCTTTCTGAAGGCGGTTAACACACCACATACGATTCCAACAGCATGGCCCACCACCCCATCTTGCTCCTGTTGGTATCTCCAAGCTTGATCCTCATTTCTAATCTGTATTTCCAGCAGACAAAGCAAACACACCTGCAGGCTGGCGGGGTGCGGAGAGGAATGGCCAGGAGCAGGCAGTTGATGTCCATAACAGTCCTTCTTGTTATTACAAATCACCAGCAGACAAATCACCAGCTTAGAGACTCCCAACAACTTAAATTCCTCTCACCCCAGCGGTGTCTTCCACGTCCCCCAGAGCAGAGGCTGGTTGCAACAGAAACAGAGATGCACCGTGCCGCAGTGGGAGCTGGGGCTGCTCCTAAAGCTGAGGCTCCTGGCAAGAGGCACGTGAGAAAAGCAAGAGCCAGCTTAGAACAAGATGACTTCTTGATCCTTTAACTTGTAATCGCTGATCACAGCGACATTAGACAAATGAATGTTGAAGCTGGGTCAAGTAATTATTGCAGGATCATAGCTGTACGCTGCACAGTTGTCAGGGCAGTAACAAGACTGACAATTGTAAATAATATGCAGCCAGAGCACGAGGATGCTTGCTCTTGCTGGGATGAAAGTGAAGGCATAAGCTGCCATGCCAAGAAGAGAACAGCTACACCTTTATGACCAAGGGTTGCTTCCAAATGCACTGGCTGCATTCCTCTTTGTCGGGCTTCTTCCTCTTTCTGCCCATTTACATGATCAGCATATCACTACAGCAGAAATGGCATCATATACCTGCCATAGTGAAAAATGGCCATGGGAAACAAGAGGCAGAGCAAACAAGGAATGATGGTTTTACTTCAGCAAAAGGGCAGCTAGAGGAATGAGAGCAGGGAAAAAAATGACCAGCTGAGCAGACACCAAGAGGGAGCAAATGAGGAATGCTCAGCAGAGTCCAGGGGAAGCCACGGTGTCGGTGGTCGGTGTGGAGCCAGCAGCAGCCTGGAAAAGCAGAAAGGAAAGTACAAAGCACTCCTGCTCTCACCCCTGCACAGAGAAGAGGGAAACACTTGGGCAGTCCTCTCCTCCTTACCATTTGTCCCTCCTTATCAGGCTGAGAAATGGCGGTGCCTTCCTTGTGCATGCCGACACTCGGGCTTCTCTCCCTTCTGAATACAAATGCGGGAGCTTGGAATTGTACCTGCTCACTGGATCCTGGGAACTGCACAAACCCACTGGGGATGGGAAGAGGCCCCTCAGTGCCCCTGCCCCAAGCTGTGCCTCTCAAGGGTTGGGCCTTTCAGGGCTCAAGCTGATAAATCCCACTCGAATCTCTCCTGTGCCTACCCCAGCTGTCAGCTAAGGGGCAGGCGTGCCGGGAGCTCTGCTCCAGCGGGATCCTGCTCCTCCGCTCCCGTGCTATCCATCCCTGTGCTCACCCACATCATACTGCTGCTCAGGCTCAGCAGTCCCGGGCTGCGGAGTCACCTGTGTCCCCGCAGAGGGATGAAGTAAGGAGCCAACGATAGGTCCCTGCCACCACGGCCACTCGCACCACATCCCTTTTAATCTGTCCAAGACTCAAATGAGGTGTGGCCCAGCAACAGCAGCCAACAAACGGCTCCCCAAGAAGGTAGCCCTGGGTCAGGGGCATGCAATTCTCAAGTAAGGGGACACACAGCCCCAAGGTGCCCCCCAGGACTTTCTGGCGTCTCGCCACCATTGAAATGGGTGCGCCCAAGAGTGCTATGTGGCTTGACTATTTCTGCAAATAACCTTGATTTCGGGGGTAGTGGGATCTGTGCTGGTTCCCAGCACCCTGGACATGCAGGTACAAGCAGCCAGAGGAGAGAGCGCTGGTGACTGTCCCGTTTTGTGGGCAAGCGCCAAGCAGATCACTGCCTCTCCTGGATGCCGTGAGATCATCCCCACCAGTGGGGACCGTCACACGCTATGTCAGGGCTCTGAGGGCACTTAATTGCCTTGATGGGCTCCCTCACCCCTCTGCCCAGTGTCCTGGAGCTCCAGCTAAGCTCAGGCCTTGGCCTTTGGCCCCAGACTGGCCAAAACCTCAGTCACAGGGGTCTGTCAGCACCCAGCCTTCACCTGCTTGTGGTTACTGGGGAGTTGCTGTGAACCTGCCTCAGTTTCCCCAGCTTTGCCACCAACCCCCTTGTGTCACCTTACGGCTCAGCTGTTGAACATCAGGATTCTGAAGACAGTCTCCCCACACCCTTAGTAACTGCCTGTGAACACTGGCAAGGGCTCATCCTTTCCTTTTCACCCCACATACAGGATTAGGAGCCAACCCCCTCCACCCCCACAGCAGCTTTGCAGAGACTCTGCAGCCCCTCCAAGTCCCAATTTCAAGCCCCAGGCTGGAACCTCTGCCCACAAGCTCCCATATCGAGGACCTTCTCACATCACGTCTCCTCTCCCAAGAGAGCTCCAAAGACACAGTCAGGGGAAGCAGAGAGCAACTGCGCTAACGGGCAGCCCCAAACAGCTGCACAGAGAGGGAAACGAGAGATAACACAGAGACATTCCAAGTAATCTTATTTTTCCATTGGCTGAAAAGCCACCACTATGCCACACTGCATGTTGCCAGGATATTTTAAAGGCCTTAGACGACCTTCAAAGGACGGTTGAGAAGCCAAGCAGCAGGAGACCCTCCAGGCCCCTTCCCCGCTCTCCAGCCCCACGGGGGCATCACTGGCTCAGGGACCACATCACGCCAGCCCATGCAACCCTGGCTGTGCTTCTATCAGATATGTGTGGCTATTCTAATAATTATGACTACAGCCTCATGGCACAGTCCCTCAGCAGATTTCTCGCCTCCAGCACTCCCAGCTCTGACCGTCCCCTTATGCTGCCAGACGGGAAACCACAAGAGCCCCCTGTGAGGCACAGGTGCCCCGTCCTCTGCAAAACTTCCCCCCCAAATACGCTTTTCGTGGACATGGGGGTTCCTTCTCGTTCCACTGCCCTTCACAGGGCTGCTGCCGCCACGCAGCCAGGAGCCCAGGGCTGGAGCCTCACCCACCCGGCCCCCTTAAAAACCGAACAGGGGGGGAAGCTGCAAACAAACCTCCCGCCGTCAGACCTGCGGGGCTTTTCTACGAGGAGGCGAGGCCACCTTCCCTTTAGGCTGAGCAACGCCCTGAGGGCCGTGCGCGAGTCCTAACACGCCAGGAGCCCACAGCTTAGGGCTGCCGGCAGCGAGGCCCCTGAAGCCCCTCACCGGAGCGCCGCCATCTTAGGGGGTACCCCCGGGGCTGGGGCAAGGCTGCTGCGGGCACCGCGGGCGACCCGCAGGGATAGCGAAAAGCCGATGGCGGTAGGGACGGTCCCCCCTTGGGCGCGGGGGGCAGCCGAGGCGGGGAGAACCGAGGCGGGGAGAGCCGAGGCGGGCGGGGGACGGGACCCCCGGGGACAGACCCCGGGGACAGACCCCGCAGCCCGTCGCCGCAGCCCTGAGGAGAAACCCCCGCAGCGCCGCCGGTGGGCGGGAGGGGAGGGCGGGGGCGGACAGGCAGGCGGCGAAGCCAATCGCAAGCGCCTGTCCCTCCCGCCCGCCGGCGGTGGGCCAATGGCGAGGCGCGGGGCGGGGTGGGGCGGGGCGGGCGGCGGGCGGGCGGCAGTCGGCGCTGAGGCGCGGTGGGGTGCGGGTCGCTCCTCTGGCTCTGCCGCGGCCGCCGCCGGTGCCGCGCCGCCTTCCTTCCCTCCCCTATGGAAGAGATGGAAGAGGAGCTGAAATGCCCGGTGTGCGGCTCCTTTTACCGGGAGCCCATCATCCTGCCCTGTTCGCACAACCTGTGCCAGGCGTGCGCCCGCAACATCCTGGTGCAGACGCCGGAGTCGGAGTCGCCGCAGAGCCGCCGCGCCTCGGGCTCGGCCGTCTCCGACTACGACTACCTGGACCTGGATAAGATGAGCCTGTACAGCGAGGCGGACAGCGGCTACGGCTCGTACGGCGGCTTTGCCAGCGCTCCCACCACCCCCTGCCAGAAATCCCCCAACGGCGTCCGCGTCTTCCCGCCGGCCGCCCCGCCGCCCCCCGCCGCCCTGGCGCCGCCGCCGCCGCCGCGCAACGCCTGCCTGACCTGCCCGCAGTGCCACCGCAGCCTGGTGCTGGACGAGCGCGGCCTGCGGGGTTTCCCCCGCAACCGCTTGCTGGAGGGCGTCATCGACCGCTACCAGCAAGGCAGGGCGGCGGCTCTGCGCTGCCAGCTCTGCGAGAAGGCGCCCAAGGAGGCGGCCGTGATGTGCGAGCAGTGCGACGTCTTCTACTGCGATCCCTGCCGCCTGCGGTGCCACCCGCCGCGGGGGCCGCTGGCCAAGCATCGCCTGGTCCCTCCGGCCCAGGGTCGTGTCAGCCGCCGCCTCAGCCCCCGCAAGATCTCCACCTGCACCGACCACGAGCTGGAGAACCACAGCATGTACTGCGTGCAGTGCAAGAGCCCCGTCTGCTACCAGTGCCTGGAGGAGGGCAAGCACTCCAGCCACGAAGTCAAGGCCCTGGGCGCCATGTGGAAGCTCCACAAGGTGGGTCCTGGCCCCGGGGTGGCGCCTGCCAGCAGCCCCGGCCGAGCCCCGCGGTTGGGAGAGGGCTGCCCGTCCAGCATGTCTGGTCCCACGCGGTCCACCTTCCCCAAGTTGGCACGGTGGGAGCATCGCCGCCCACACCAGGGCTGCGTTTTGCACCCTCGCTTGGGAGGAGAGTTGCCCGCCCACCCCGGCATGAGGGGGGGCTGGCGTCGGGTGGGTGATATTCCCCGTGGGTCCCCAAATCGTGCTGGCCGGCTCCCATGCACTGCTCCCCAGCAGTGACTGGGGGTGATGGCTCGGGGGTGGATCGGGGACACCGGCACCACGGAGCTGGAAAAAGCGACGGGGAGCGATGCTTTCGCAAGGAGGGAGGTGTGAAATCCGCCGCGGGGGAGGACGGGGACGTGGGAGTGGGGTGCTGTGGGGTGCTGCTGAGGATGAGCTGCTGCTTCCTCCCGCACACCGAGTCATTGGGAGGAGGAGGGGCGGCAGCACGGTAGCGGAGCCTTTCACTGAATACTGATCAGCTCCTCTTGAGCGTACTCACTCCCACACGCATCCTTGCTGGAGGAGAGGGTCCCAGCGCTTGCGGCAGGGATGCAACCGTCACTAGCTTCAGCTCAGCTCCATCCACCCCGCTGCCTCCCTCCCTCCTTGTACCAGTGACACCCGTGCCGAAGGAACTGGGGCAGAAGTGACTGGGACGCGGGCGGACAGGGCACGAGGGAATGGGCGTCACTCCTCGGATGAACATTGAAATAACTGTCCCCCGCTCCAGCAAATGTGCGCAGGCAGGAGCAGATGGGGGGGACTTGTGTCAAGGAGTGGTGGAGGCTGGGGGAGATGGGGAGGTGCATGACCTGCTCCGTGTCCAAAGGGGTTCGGCTGGCTTGCTTTCCAGGAACGTCCCTGTCATGCTTTGGCAGGCTGCGTGGCGAAGGGCAGCCCCGTGTTGGGTCAGTGGGTGTGTGGAGGGACAGGCCATCGCTTGTCATGATACCCCTTGAGAGGGCTGGAAGAAGAGCGTAACCACGTTATGTTGTAGTGGAGGAGGAAAGGGTACGGTGACGCCTGTTGCTTCAGGAAAGGGATCGCCCTGACCTCCTTTTACTGGGAGCAGGAACACCTCCTTCCCGGCTTCCGTGCGCTCTTACAAAGATGAAGCCCATGTGCCAGAGCAGTTTTGGTGCCCCATGGCCTCGTCCTTACGCACGGGGTGCAATCGCCGCTCCCAACCGGTGTTGGGCTGCTGGGGTGCACCACAGCACTGGTGACTGCTGACCTGCTCCCAGGAACACAGGGGCTCCTCTTCACTGGCGTGTTAACATGACATGAACCATCGGATGCTGTGAGCATCTTGCTCCTCTGGCCTGTTAGGAAACCCAGTAAGTGCCTGCTGTGTGAGAGCAGCCTGTTCTTCAAAATCTTTTCCTCCCGGCCCAGCTCTTAGTGGAGGAGGAACCCGTTCAGTCTGTGCTGACATAGAGCAGGAGTGGAGCCTGGTCCAGCTGTCGGTGGTGTTCTCCAAAATGAGAGAAATCTAATGGGCACCAGGCCTTTTTGTAAGCTTTTGACTTCGCCTTCCTGCTTTGACTCAGATGCAGCAAAGCACTTACTGAGATACATGCATGAGGATCTGGACGACTTTATATACAAGTACTGAGATACTTCAGGTCCTGTCCTTGTGTTCTCAATTAGGACAGTTTATTCTTCCTTGAATGCTTAACTTCTCTTTCAAAATATCTTTTCACAGGGCAGAGCTTTAGCAGTGCAGTATTTCACTGGTGTAGCTAACAGATATGGAACTGTAACGTTATTTGAAACGATGATTTTCATGCAGTTTCTCTCAGATTTTTGGAAATCCGAAAGTGAAATCATACCTGCCTTGAGCGAGTCTGTGTTTCTGCAAGGGTTTACTGCTGCTCCCTGATGTTTGCTTGTTACAAGAGGGAAAAGAGTCTGTTGAATCAAATGTGGCGGTGTGGTATAACTGAAGGGGGGATTTCATGGCCAGAGCTCAGATTGCTCCCTGAGAAGGGGAGAGGCTGTTCACTTTTCAGTCATTATCCTGGTTGGGACCGGGCATCAGGAACCAAGCCACCTGAGGGTTTGAGTGATGAACTGCCTGCAAAAGTACCTGGGTGTCATTTTTTTGAGGGGACAGGCCTCTGGCAGCAAGACAAACTTGCTGAAAGGTGACTTTTTACCTGGTCTTGTGGCTGTGATGAGTACCTACAGCTCGTAGGAAAGGACAGAGTCATCAGCTTTTGACTCCTCCATGATTATAGCACCTCTCAGTGCAAAATACTCTTTGGGATACATCTGTGCTCTTAATTTCTGACCTGAGGAGGCTGTGATTCTCGCTGCAGTCTGCCATGACCCGAGAATGTCTTGATGAGCTGTTGTTCTCGAAAGCAGCGTTCACGCGTCAGTACGTGATTGCCGGGCCCTAGGCAATTGCTGCCAAGTGCAGCATGCTTCGCTTTGGGAACGAGACCGAAGGGCTTTTTACAAACCTCTTCGGGAACTGCCCCAATTTTTGCTTTCCTCTGACAGAGCCCTGATTGTGTGCTTCTCGCAGATGATCGTTTCAAAATAGTCTGTGCTGAGGCACGATCAAACACAATTCAGGGAGCTAAGATTTGTAAGCTGGACACAGGTCATGGGAAATCCTCTCTCTTCCTATCTTTTTTTCGGGACAGCTGTTGGGAGAGGGGTAAATAATCAGAGAAGGATAGAGGAGAATGGATTTTTTTTAATCTGAATTGTCCCAGTTTTGCACATACATTACAGCTGTCTGGATTTTATCCTGACGAGCTGGAGCACTGCTTGGCATGTCAAAAGCAGAGACACAAGATGGAGCTGAATCATTTATTCTTTGCGCATTCAAGGCTGTCTTCCTTTAGCTGGGAAGTGTGTGGTGAGTACAGGCTCAGCAGCTTGCCAATGTTTTTTTATAGATAGATAGATAGATGCACACATACATACACAAACAGACTGGAAGGAACCTCAAGGGTCACGCAGTGCATCTCTATCTCTGACAGCCCTGAAATTCCATCCATCAGTTGATCAAGCTCTGTCTTTAAGAGCATTTTACTCTTGCCAATGCATGTTGGAAAGGTCTCACAGGAGCTCGTGGTTTTTGGTAGTAGCTTTTAAGTAGGTTTGAAAGCTTTCTGGCTTAGGCAGTGGACCGACAGTGATGTAGAGCAGTTATTCTTGACCATCTCTCCTAGGGTATCGGGTTGTTGCCCAGCGCTGTTGTAGCTGGCTATCCTCTGCAGAGTCCCTGGTACTTCTCATCCCATGGCTGGATGCCCTCCTGGGGCTGGGTCATGCCTGCCAGAGGCTGCTTTTGGTTTTGAGATCGGTATCCCGACCACAGCGAACATCAGCCTAGATTTACTGTACTCAGGAAGAGGCTGAAGAGGTCGGTGATGCCATGGGGATGCGAGCTTCTGCTCTCTTTTTGGGCAGTCGAGCAAGAAGCTTCCCTCTGCTTTGGGTCAGGATCATGGGTTTTCTTTACAGGGGCTCATGGGGCTCTCCCTCTTTTCTCCGCTAGCATCTCTTTCACATTCCTTTTGCCTTAAACCAAGACTCTGGGGTGGGAGCACTGTCCGCTTTGCCTCGACACTGAAAGGGGAGCAGGTTAGGCAGCCTGTCCAGTTCCTCTTGTAGTGAAGCAGAAACAGGTCTTGACTTCAGTGGAAGGTAAATAGTGAGCTCAGTTATACTTTTACATGGGATTTAACTGCCCAGGATGGGATTGCCCAGGCTAAAGGCACAAACTGTCCTGGAATTGTAAACCCCTGCAGCATCTCTGCAGATTGCAGTAGAGACCAACCCTGTGAACTGACATTACGCAGTCTGTTGAATCAGCTGTAATGATTGTTAGCAGTCAGAGGCTAATTAGCAGAGGTATTATCTAGACCTCAGCTCACCCAGACTGTCACTGGCACAGACGGGATGAGGGATGCGGGGGGAGCTCTTCTTTTAAGAATCACAAATCCTATGTACACTAGGCGTGACTTTGTTCCTGTTGGTTGGCGCATCTGGGGTGAACTAGAGGCTGGAAAACACTACTAGTGCCTCTTAATTTCTGCCCAGGGTACAGCAGGCATCAAAGCCAAGACAGGGACAAGCAGACAGCATTAGTCATTAGCTTTCTTGACTGGGCCTCTGTGATAGCTGCCAGAGAAACTTTTGTGGGGAGTCGCCTTCTCGAGGCATTGTGAACGTACTGCTGTGGGGTCCACGGGAATTCCTGTAGCCCGCAGCGCTTGTGGGAAGTATCCAGGGAGTTGCTATATGACGAAGATCTGTTTGCATTTGCAAAGCAAAATATTTGCTACTAAAACAGAAGCAGAGAGAATCCTTAATCTTTTCCTGTTGCAAGCCACGTTCTTTCCCAAGCCTTGGTTTGCTGGCCTTCCCGAATCCCACCGCCCTTGCTCCATCACCTGCCACCTGCAGCAGCAGGGTCCCTCCTGTCCTTTTCTAGCAATGCCAAACAGCCTTCCCGACTGCTCCATTTTTCTGTGGCCAAATCCTGAGAGCAGCCAACAGGCAGAGATGCTTTGAAGTCAGAAAAAAGCTAAGAAATGTCACTGAGGTCTGTGGATTTACACAACTTGTGTGTGCCCGGGATCCAGAGGTGATGCTGCCTTCTTGTATTAATTTATTTAGAAAACAGCTTTCTGTCAGCAGTTAATGGAGTAAGGAGCAACCACGAATATCATGTTAATCAAAGGTAATGTGGTACAGCAAGATCTACGAGGCGCTTTTAGAGCCCGTGTGGTGCTTGATGCCAGGAGATGTCCTCTTAGTTATTTGCAAATGGAAATGGGCCCCAGGCCATCTTGGAGCGGGTATAAATCACTGCAGCTTCATCAGTTCCAGTGGGAAGTCCCAAAATACATAGACTTGACAGGGCAGTTGTGTTGCACCATCTGTGCTCAGGCTCTCCAGAAGCTTTTAAGCATTTCAGTGGGCAG